TGAACTTGGTATTTCCCCAAGGAAAAGCACAAATGGAGTTTTCTTGATATATAAAGTTGAAGAAGACAGCAGTACACTGGAGAACATCTTGTGTATAAGGCACAGCAGGCATGTGGTATTGTCTGGTTTTCACTGTAAAGTATTTCTTTTATTGGAATGTGAAAAGTTAGCTTGTTTTATGGGTACATGTCAGGAGACAGGAGAAGGATGGCCACATACATGTCAACCATGATTCTCTTTCACTCAGATAACTTCACTTGAATTCATTTGTAATTTCAAAATACAATTAGTGAGTGTCTACTGAGATACACCAGTGAGTACGAACACAATGTCAGTGAGTAAAAGAAGAGAAGAGCCGGGCAGTGGTGGCGCACGCCTTTAATCCCAGCACTCGGGAGGCAGAGGCAGGCGGATCTCTGTGAGTTCAAGGCCAGCCTGGTCTCCAAAGTGAGTTCCAGGAAAGGCGCAAAGCTACACAGAGAAACCCTGTCTTGAAAAACAAAAAAAAAAAAACAAAAAACAAAAAACAAAACAAAAAAAAAAAGAATAGAAGAGGGCAGATTTCTGACCTCCTGCAATTGCACGTTAGGTGATTTGACACATGATAACCAATAGTATAACAAACAAAATTGATGAACTCATTATAAATGACAAAGCCTAAGAATAAAAAAAATGAATAACACCCAGCAGGGATGAGGGGAGGGTAAATGCTGAGGTAGAAAACAAAACAAAACCAAACAAACAAACACAACGTATTATTGTGTATTAAAAGCAGAATTCTTTTCAAGGATCATTTCTGAGCTAATTTTCAAGTAGAATTCATGTGATGTCTTTGATCTAAGGTTAGACATCATTATATGACCTACATATAGAACTCCTGATTTTTTTTTAATTTTATAGATAAAATACCTATGAAGAATAAAAAATAACAGTCTGAATTTTGGTAGTTAACTGAGGTCTGAAACATATTTACAAGTAAGTGGGAAACTGCTGCTCTCTGCCATATGGGAGCAGAGAGTTCTGGAATAGCATTCCCACACAAATTTTTAAAATTCTTAACAAGATACACAAAACAATTATTTTCAGACTGAACAACATGAGCACAGTTGTGATGTATAAGAATAAGGGAAACAGCAGGATCAGCCCCCAAACAAATCTACTTTACTCAGGTGTATGTATATAAATACGTACATACATATACATATACATACACATATGCATGTGTTCCTACTGAAGAAAAAGATGATCCAAGTAGATCATGGCAGTTTTACTAAATTGAAAAAACAAAAGACTAAGGCCTCACTCAGAGGAAGCAGGTGAAAGGAAGGAACTTGTAGAGCTGAGCTCAAAGAGAAAAAAGATAGATTAAAAAACTCCCATAATCTGCACTGGGGACCTTAAGCTAGTTGGCTGCTTAGCATACTCCCATACAAATGATACATGAAGCTAAGCAAAGAAAATTAAGTAGGGGAAGAAAGTATCCTGTGCACAAAATAAGAAGCAAATCTTGTGTGTATTAGGAAAAATAGAATTAAAAGCATATAATGGAAGGATCTTGTTAAATGCCTCAGGTAGTTATTAGGGACTCCAGAGAGGCCACTCCAGAAATATGAACAAAAACCAATTCCAGAATAAATCCTCAAAAATTAGGTCAACAGTATTTAAAATGGAGTTTGCATGGTATAATAACCACCAAATCAAAACAAGCTTTTTTTTTTAAAGGATAATAAAATTGTATGTCCTCAACAACACAATACCCTGTGGAAAGAAAAGACTAGGTACACAAAGCCATGTTTATTAACTTGGAAAAATAATTAACCCATGTGAAAAAAAAATAATAAAGCAGTGACAGGGATGTTGCAATTAGTGAAGTTTTAAATCAGTTTGCACACATGCTGGCAGGAACTGAGCGAAAACATATGCGCCCTGGAGCAGGAGACACTGACAGTGAAATGTGGCCACAGAGGGCACAGGACATTTGTGACCAGCTCTCAGGCCCCCACACCTCCGCACGGCGGTCGATCCAGGTAGCATAGCTCCTGGGGGAAGTGGGAAAAGCACAAAGTGAACGGAACGCGGAGTTACTCCATGTGAGGAACAGTCCATCATGAGTATACTAGAATGAAAGGACAGCATGTGACACAGTGTGGGGACCAACAAAAGTCAACGCTGTCTTCTGAAAATATAGATGAAACAAAACTTTCAGAGAGACCTATGAGGAGAGAGTGTGGGGAAGGAGGAAGAAGGAAATTCAAACAAACGAAAGTGTGCATACTGGCCATGGGCGGGGGGGGGGGGGGCGACTCAGTATAGAAAAGTGTTTATGGTGCAACGTTGAAGATGCGAGTTCAATCCCCACACTGCATTTAAAAGCCTCCTGTGCTGGTGTTAGAGTGATGAGCACCCCAAATCCAAATACTCCTAAAGCAAAATTTGAGATAGACCCAGAAAGCAATGGAGCCATTTCTCACAGACTTCGCTATTAGTTTATTAGCAGTTTGAAGAGAGAACTATGTCATCTGCTCTACCCACTCTTTACACACACACCCCACACACACCAGATCCAGCAAACCCAGAACTCACAATTATTGAAAGGTCTGGGCTAGCTTATATAGCTCAAGTTGAACTGGAGGGTGGGTGTCAAGGGAGGAAGGCCTGCAATAGGGGCAGGGGCTCTCCAAGAATATCAATTCAGTTAGCAATTTCCCAGTCACATGATTTCTAAGAAGCCAGTTCCCTGTGTGGAGGTTGGGGGAAAAGAAGCTTGACTGACTTGATCATGCTGTGGTCTTTGTCTCTGTGGAGTTGAGTAGGCCCAAGCCTGGTTTGGGTAGGGAGTGGCCCCCTCCTGCTGTGCTCTCTGAGAGATGTCTGGGGTATGGGCAATGCTCTACTGTCCTTTATCTGGCTTGGGAACCGACAATTGCTTAGCTGACGACAGCATGCCAAGTGTTAATTCTATTGCTAAGAATGCCAGCATTATTATGTTTTATCCTAATTTTATTATTTCTACTATTAAAAGTTTCAAAGAATATGGAAAAGGGTTTGCATTTGCTCAACATTTACTGTCAGCTTCTAAAAGATCTTTGTGTGTACGATGTGTTTCCTTCACAAGAATGCTGTGTAATAAAAATGCATCTGCATTTTATACATGGAAACTCTGAGTTATTCAAGTCCAGTTAGATACTGAGGGGCACACAGGTTAAAAATAACAAAATAAAATAAATTTAGAATACACAGCTCAGTATTTTTTTACTGTAAATTTCTTTGTTTTTGTTTTAAAATTTGTGCTTCTAAGGAAGGAAAAAACAAGCATTATACACTCAATTATTTATAATGTTGTAACCTCCGACTCATGTTATTAAGTAACAGATACTCATTTGAGAGCCATTCACAGTGTTGTTAGTGTCCTCATGATATGCATATGTACTCGTGAAGATGCCCATGTGCACTGATGCCGTCCTGATCTACTGTTGATCAGCATCTGTGCTACTTGAACTCACTGTCTTGTTCAATAGCTGCTGCTGCAGCAGAGCAAAATAACATGTGTGATTGATAAGTAACAGATTAAGGAAGTCAGAGGTCAAGGTGCATCCAGTTCCACTATCTAGGTACAAGTGGCTTTTTGGTTCCCAGCAATTGGGTTCTTGCTAAAGATCAAGATGTCTGAAGGGGCCTGGGAGCCCTCTAGGTTTTCTAAGAACACTGGTTCTTTTTCCGTATAAAAATATCATCCTTCCGAGGGGACCTAAGCATTTTCCCAGGCCCCCAAGTCCTGATAACCTCACAGAATTAAGACAGCAATATGACTATGTGGTGTTGGATTCACAAAAATAGTAAAATAAAATAAAATAAATGTATATATCAGTTACCAAGTATTGACAACAGGCTTTTCTTTCTGTTTTTCCATATTCAACCCAATACGTCCACTTGTATCACACGCTGATGGAAGAGGTTGTTTTTATCTTCTTCTTTGCCCTAGCAATATTGGTGAATAGAATTTTCTATGTTTGCACTCTCCACTATGGAAGCTACTAGTCACATGTGACTCTAAATACTTGCTGGATGGCTAATGTATCTAAAGAAACACATTAACTTTGGTTAAATTAACTTTAACATCAATATGAAGCTATTGACTACTAAATGGTAACACTAATCCGCAGCATCCATTTCTAGAACTTAGCTGGTTATAATGTATCATATTTTCTAATAATCTGCCCTATATTGTCCATTTCATTTAATAGCTATTTATATAACTGCTGATGTGCAAGATTTCACGTTGAAAATATATTTTCAATTTGATTTCCTTAGCATCCTAACTTTCCCAATATGTTTTATTCCATCTGAGTGTTTTTCATCACTGTGCACACACACATGTACACATATACACTGATGAACATAAGACCAGAATCTAATGCTGTAACTTTTACTGTTATATGAACAATCTAATATGATTCTGCTTGGGTTGTCACTATGGTTGCTTTTTTTCTTCAATGTTTCAAATAATTTGATATTAGGAATCCCTGTTGTTTCTGTGGGGATTGTCATTATTAGTAATACTGTTTCTATTCTTTTATAATTCTAATTATGCTTGATAAGATTTAACTACTATTCCCTCAATCTCTAATGTCCTACCTCTTAGTATCACTGATTGAATTAGGAATTAGACGCTTTATATAAACAGTAAATATTCTTAAAAAGAAAATTTCAGCTGAACATGGTGGTAAAAGATTGTAATCACAGTTCTTCTGAGATAGAAGCAAGGACATCACAAGTTCCAAGCCATACTCATCTGCATAGCAAATTTGAGTACAGTCTAGAACATAGAAAACACTGACTCAAAACACCAAAATCAAAAGCAAGGTGACCTCAATAGCTTTTATGTTACAACTTTAACTATAGATTTGACCGGACTTAGTGTCTTAATTTCTTTATTATCAATTCAACACTTCTATTGTTAAAATTATTCTCAGGTTATTTTGGCTGTCTTATCATTTCAGGACCACCAAACAATTTTGAGAGCATGGGCTGTGAAAGATTTTGCTCCAAATTGTCCTTTGTATGTCCAGATATTAAAACCTGAAAATAAGTTCCACATCAAATTTGCAGGTAAGTTTTGGTTATCAATGCCAGCCTTTAAGTTCTCCAACTCTATTTGCAACTTATTGTTTACATTTCTAAAGTGAGCGGCACTTAATTAGTTCATGGTCCTATCAGGCAGAGAGGATTTTCTTTTAGTCATCCATTTGAAATGCAAGAATGTAATATTTGAGATAAATCTTCACTTTTAACATATAACTTGCTGATTTTATCACCTGACTTTACCATATACATTTTTAAGTTTATTTGGGTTTTCAAAAGATGCTGTGAATAAGTTTTGAAATGTTCTATCTGACTTTTAGTTTACGCATAGTCAATTCTTTGCTATATATATTACTTAAAGCACAAAATACCTTAACCTACAGTATATGGCAATGTAATACGTTAATATGCAATATTTATTTTAATTTGGGTTATAGATCTTAAAATAATTCAAGAAAAATGTAAATCTTCTGTTTTATGTTTTAGAGACACGATTTTTAAAATAAAAAGTTACATGCACTAGGGAGGTCATGCTTTGCATCATTTGGTAATTGAACAATAATATGCTAATTAATTATTTTCTTAAATGTTTCTGTGGGAGAAAGGCACAGCTTTGGATCTGCTCATTGATTTATTTACTTTTCTCCCCAAATGTAACAGATGTGTACTATATTGTGTTTTAATTCACTTCAACAATCAATGCTTAAAAGTTTCTTCAAATGTAAGTCCTTTTAGCAACATGTCACAAGTTATTTTTTACACTATGTGTCCACGTGTCTTTAAATGCTAAATTGTTCGTTTATCTTACTGCAATAAACTTTACAAATTAATTTTAAATAATAAGAAAATAGTGAGGTTGGTGATACAGAGTTATTTCTACCTTATCCTGTCTGTATTACAAGTGACATCATTAGCTGATTCTCAGAAAACGTATATAGGACAACCTAAAACACCGACTCTTTGTTCCATCTGTATATTATTGCACTTTGGAAGATTTTTAAGAAGTACCCATTGTAGGGGTTCTGATTGAGGTAGTCTGAGGTGGTGGTACCAGGACTCAATAAACTGAAACAAAGATGTGAGAGTCATTCTATTGTAAATGCCTTTGTGACTGAAATGGAAAAGTGTATGTGAAGTACCTCATTAGGTGTTTTTCCAGAATCCTGTTTGAAGTAAACATTCATGTTTTTAGTTACTATTAATAAATTAAAAAGAGCATACTCGGGTAGCATTAATGGCATGAGCAGCTAGCAAGGTGTTGAAGTAAAATACTAAATCTGAATGTCAACATTTAAGACTGTAAAAGCTCATTTATGCAAAATAGTACTCAGAGTGATGCTTTCATATCCTTCTGAAAAGCTGCCTCCATTCCAACAGATAGGGTCAGTAGTGAGGATTAAAAAAATCTGGAAAACTTTTAGTTGTCTATTGAATAGTATTGGATCTAAATCTTAGGGCAACTGCTGCATGTAGTATGAAAAACAACCCATCATTTTGAATGTGATATATCTCACACTCAGAGGAGACATCTACTCTTCTCCCCCTTCTTTATCCAGCCATCAATCAGATGCTTCCCATAAATCAATCACATGTGCTGAAATAGTCTATTTACAAGTAAGGTGCTACAGAAACTATTGTGTTGATTTTCTTTCAAATATTTCATTTGACATTATTTTAATAAACCTACCAAGATGAGTATATTATTTAAAAAAAACTCTCTCCTAAAAGTTCATCTCAATATTTCTTATTTTGACACATGTTAAAATTCTGTCTAATAGTGCTTTAAGTTCTTTTATAGCTGAGATTACAACATTTCAGATGGGAGTCTTTTTGTAGTATTAAAGATGAAAGCATTGTAGTTTCATTAAAATGCCATAAAAATATTAAGGCTGATGTATGAAGCTCTCAAATCAATATAATTCATTTTGTATCTCAGCAAGAGTTTGAGAAGTAACAGGCTTCTTAATAAAAGGCAATAGATGAAGCTGTCAGCTTGTGTAATAAATTGTTAAAATGGTCCCCGAGGAGCCAAACTCCATCATGTGTGTCTCACTGCTATGTGGTCTTTCGGCCTCTGAGCTGCATGTGAAGATGCTCTGTTTAGTTATTATGAGAAAGGGAAGCAAGAGGAAAAATAAGACTCACCCATCCTGGTACCTGACTGTGTATTTCCCTCTTACACACCAGCCCAACTCAGGGCATATTAATACACAGAATTGTGATGAAGAAGGCATTGTTTGAGTTATTCAGGGGTGAGATCATTATGAAGCTATAGAGAGCTAACAGCAAATAATAATTGTGTTCAAATAATAATTATTTGTGATCAAATAATAATTGCTAAAAACCGTACTTTCTTGATGGCTTTCATTGTTGTCATGTATAAGTTGCTTAAGTAGTACTTTAGCCTTCCCAGATATCTAACGGATACATTTTCATTTTTGGTGTTCACAATGTCCTCTTCAACTAATCCTGAGTTATAATAATCTTTCAATGATTATAGTTTATGCATTTTAAAATTAAACCATATTAATAAAAGCAGCATGTAGTGAAATATTTGAAAATTCTGTTAATAGCTGTATGAAATATGACATAATAAAACACTGCAGCAAGTTTTCTCTTTTTTTTTTTTTTTTTTTTTTTTGGTTTTTTGTGACAGGGTTTCTCTGTGCAGTTTTGCGCCTTTCCTGGATCTCGCTCCATAGACCAGGCTGGCCTCGAACTTACAAAGATCCGCCTGCCTCTGTCTCCCGAGTGCTGGGATTAAAGGCGTGCACCACCCCTTCCCGGCAGGTTTTCTCTTATTCATGGAGATTTATGTATTTTTATTCCAAATGAATAACAGTAAGCATTCAAGAAATGGACGATTTATTTCATTAGTGTTTGAACATAAAGACTTATAATTAAAATAATACCTTATATTTTAATTATGTCCAAAACTAAAGTACTGTAAAGTAACAAATGCATGTTCTGAGCAATAGAAAAGATATGTTATTATTTAAAACACCAGAAAACCAAGATAAAAACACTATACCCTGAAAAAGGTGGAAAGAGTAAAATGTTCAGTAGAATAAGTTGATATTTCTGAATATAGATTACAATAAGATTCAACTAACAGAAAGCATAATTCACAGGGAATGTAATTCTTTTTTATACAGATAATTTTCCAAAAAGGCTAATGGTCACTCATTCAGAAACAAGCTTCACTTTCAGTAGTTTGTCCTCAAAGCAACAGAATGTGTAAATGTTGCTTGGGCACCCTGCAATGGAATGTGTAAACATGAGTGGGGCCCTGCGCTGAAACATGTCTTCACTGTTTCAGTTGTACAACCTTAGATTTCTACCCCTGTAAACTTGTTTTTTAATTAATAAAGACGATGATAAGAAAAAATACTTCAAAATTGAGTTGTTCTGATACAAAGCCTACTTACAAGAAAATCAGCCACCCATAAAAGAAGTCTATTAGAATAGCTTCTGTCAGTAATATCTTAGTACTTGCTTCTCATCTTAACTAATTTTATTACATTTAATTACAGAAAGAAAACTATTGAGGGATATCCTAGAGGTTTTAAAAAGAGTTCATTAAAAAATTCAAAAAGTATATCATTTGAGAATATACATTCAGAGACCAGAAAAATAAAGTTCAATCTCAATTCATTTCTTAAAATTAATATAACCTTGAACAAAACACATTGAAAATTCTATTGGAAATGACAGTCGGAGACTGATTTTGTTTGTATAATGTTTGAAAAATTACATGCAATTCACTAATTAAAGAAAACTATATTTAATAGGAACATATGATCACCAAGTTGAAATCATTTCAGGAACATATTTGCAGATTAAAATAGACGGAATACATCATATGAATGTACACACTCGAATCTTAGTGAATGTGCCACCAACTTACACATTTAAAGCCAGAAAAGCTCTAGTGACGTAGGAAAGACCCTCAGCCTGAATAAGTTATCTTCAAAATAGGATGGAGGAAAAAATGTATTTCATAATCACATTGTAAGTACAACTTGAAAATTAGGAAAAACAAAACAAAACAACAACAACAACAAAAAATACAGAGCTGTCCACTAAGAAACCTTTTATCTCTGGAATCCCTATTTATTGCTGTTGATCTGGAAAAATACAGGGATCAGATAGGAGAAGTCATGGATTAAAATGTCAATGTCTAGAAAGCACAGATCAACTATAAGGAAAATTGAAAAATAATTTTCTTTTCTATCTGTAGATCTTTTCTTTAAGGTTATCTCATCAATGTGTAAGATTTTCATAATTGAATCTCTCCTTCAGTATTCTTTATGGGGCTGACTGTTGCATCTCAAACTGCATAGTCATTATTTGTAGCACGAATCTTAAAAGTTCTTATCAAGAAAAACAAACCCAGATTTAGGTATTGGGGTGAATGCTGGAAGACCAGAGAAGCAGAGCAAGCCACAGCTTCCTCACCTCGACAGTTCCTCAGCTGATCCTGTTTCCTCAGACTGGAAGTCTCATAGATCTCATCTGAACTGATGCTCAAATGCCTAAAAACTTAACCAGCTCTAGTTCCTGGTTTTTCACGCCTTATATACCTTTCTGCTTTCTGCCATCAGTTCCTGGGATTAAAGGCGTGTGTCACCATGCCTAGCTGTTTCCAGTGTGTCCTTGAACTCAGAGATCCAGGCAGATCTCTACCTCTGGAATGCTAGGATTAAAGGGCGTGTGTGCCACTATTTTCTGGCCTCTATATCTAGTGGCTGTTCTGTTCTCTGACCCCAGATAAGTTTATTAGGGTGCACAATATTTTGAGGAATGTAATACCACCACAATTATTATGAACTAAGTTGCTAACAGACATTTCAGAAATGTCAGTTTTTTAAAAGCCATTATGATGTCCTTATTTAAAACCCATTTATCAGCCATCCTTCCCAGCTGCATCTACATAGAGAATACACAAAAGAATACACTATTCTTTCTTTCATCTATTACATCTCACTGATCCTTGGATAGGCTGCATGCTTATCTGAAGCTTTACA